AGAAAGACGTTTGTCTTCGACCAAAATTTGTTTTGCAAGTGGGTACTTGCGTACGCAGACGTCTCTTATTTTGCGGCAGTTTTGCAACATCTACCGTCTTATGGTATCGTAGAACCGAGTTGAGGTAGAACAACTGTCTCGTGAAGGGTATCGTCCGGGATGGTATTAAAGCCGCTGGACGTAACAGAATAATAGTTGAGTTTTCCACTGGGGAAGAAGCCAATAAATTTGTCACCTGCCAATTATTGACTGAAAATAAGTACTCTGCAATGATTCCCACCTACCACGTGACTCGCATGGGCTTAGTGCGCGGAGTACCAACCGACTGGTCTCTGGATGAGTTCATAGACTCTTTAGAAATCCCAGAGGGTTTCGGGATTGTCCTGAAAGCCAGACGACTCAACCGAAAAACAATTGTCAATGGTAAAGCCTCATGGACACCATCTCAAACCGTGGTTCTGACATTTTCAGGGCAGAAACTACCAAAAAGGGTGTACTCTTTCCATACTTCAATGGTAGTGGAATCCTACCAACTTCCCACCATCCAATGTCACAACTGTTGCAGATTTGGCCACATTAAAACACAATGCCGTTCTCAACCTCGGTGCTACCGTTGTGCACAGAATCATGTAGGAGATAACTGCAACATTGCGGAGGAAAGGTCATCGTGCCTCCTTTGCTCAGGCTCCCACCTAGCCACAGACAAAAATTGCCCGGAACATATTAGACAAAGGAAAATTAAACAGGTGATGTCTCAGGAGGGTATTTCATATATGGAAGCGTCAGGACTTACACCAAAATCCAGACGTCCATATAATGACGTAGCTAAAGATGTTCGTACCGCTTTTCTCGCTTCCCAGTCCTCTTCATCACAAATTACCCAAAAACCAATCCCTAACTATACTTCTACAACTCATAGGAAGACAGTTTCTTTAAGCCCTCGTATGAGGACCCCCTTGTCAAAGGGATACGATAGAAAAGCTCATCAGTCTTTGGTTGCTGACATGCCCTCAGCATTACCCAATGGCTGTGCCTTGTTACAATGTGCACTTTGATCAATCATTATGTGAATTGAGATTGTTCACAAGTAACAATAAACAAACTTACTGCCGTTCAGAGATAAGACAATGTACCGACAGGTGGATCAAATTACAATCGTCTGGCGCGTGGCTATACTCGTGTTGCCGAGAATGCTCAGTTCGCATTTTGTGCCCAGCTGGACTCGAGACTAAGTACCTACAAGGGAACGGGGTCATTGATATCGGCCAAGGCTGCGTTCTAAAAGGTGACATATTTACAATACATGCTCAACATGACTACTACAATGAAATGTACATACATAAGGACATTGACATACCGGTCCTGCCTAAATATACCTCATCTCTTAACGATATGATAAACACCTCCATGAACGAAAAGGTGCTAGATAACCTGGAGAATCATGATCAGTTATTTGATGAAATAAACAAAAGAATAGAAGTGCTGAAATCGCAAGATTTACAACTGCTACAGAACAGCAGTGTCACACACTATTCTACTATTTACGCTATACTGGCGATGCTGATAGTCGTCGTCGTCATTTACATCGGCTGCAAACTGAAGGGCCGGTGCGTGTTGGCGAGCTGGCGGGACAGAGGCGCGCAGGAAGAGCGCCCTGTCATCCTCGAGTTGCGAAGCAGCCAGGGTATCAGTGCCAGTGCTAATAGTGTCAGTGCAGTGCATGATAGTGAACAAAGGTCGAACACAATAGTGTCGATGGGTCGTGACATGAGTGGATCCGTGTTAAGTGTCGATAGGGCCACTTCTCCAACTATGACAAGAACAATTAAATTTGATAATTTACCTAAACCATAAACACCTTATTAATTATGCAATTAATTTTATGTTGGTTTTTAAACTCTCTTTTTTAACTTTCTTCTTTTATTTTTATTTTATGTGTTTTTTGACATTTTTTGTAGTTGGCAATATGTACGAGTCAACTCGCACATTTTTATTACTAAGTAATTTATTGTTAACTTGCATTTTCTTCATGCACTTTGGCCAGCTACGCCTGACCTACATTTGGGACTTTGGTAGTTCTAACATTTTTATAATCAGTGCAATAAAGCATTCGGCAGCTAAAACACGTCTTTCAATAAATCCCATCAGCGGTTGATACGGCGTAGTTGTCTGACATCTTGACATCAGTCTTACTTTGACACCACATCTTACATGTTCCATAAATACTTTACCTAGGCAGTGTATACGTAATTTCTAGGCATTGTATAGAATACCAGCTGGCCCACCGACAATGTGTAAAGTAAACAGATTTTGGCTTGTATTGATCATTATTATTTATGGGGGGTGCAGGACTTAGCCAAATTTTCGAACTTAATTCGTATGGAGCTGACACTTAAAAAAAATTGACGGATTTAGTATGGAGTATGGACTTTTTTAAACTTTTTTCTAGAGTAGTAAAGGGAGTGGGGGTCATTTTAAAAAACTAGCTGGATTACAAAATACTAGGTTAGGTTAGACTGGTGACCTTACCCAGCGTGAAGGCAAAGCTGCCCGCTTCGTCTCTCCTTTCCCTGCTATCATCTTTTACACACATTGACGGCTGCGCGTTTGGTATTGTATAGAATACCTAGTCAGGGCATAAAATTAATAATATTTCATACAATAACTGAACGTTTTTGGCTAGGGATTGTATAGAACAGGGTTTCCTATTTTTTTTTTTGCCAAGGAACCCTAATTGATTATACTTTTCCTAGCGGAACCCCTGTACCTACTACTCCGTTCGCACGCCCTGCCCCTCCCTTGTGCGTAAACAAGTCGGTGCGCGCGAACAACGTCGGTCACGAAACGTGGGATAATATTTTTTACGGAACCCTTGCGGCCTTTCCACGGAACCCCAGGGTTCCGCGGACCACCTTTCGGGAACCGCTGGTATATAATGCCGGATTATACACACTGCCGGTAACATAAATACACGATTTTAAGAAAACGATATGGCCGCAATATAGGCAATCAGCTGACAGGTTTGTGTGTATGTGTGTATGTGTGTGTGTGTGTGTGTATGTGTAGTTGTCAGCTGATTGCCTATTGCGGCCATGTTGTTTTCTTAAATCATGTATGTACTCGGCACAAGTCAGGTTGTTAGTGAGTGACGTCACATGAAAATGTTGCACATGAATGAGTAGGTACTGACCAAAAATCTCTCTGTCTTTTTTCCTACGTCATTATGGGTAAGTTAGAAAGAGATAAACAGCTGTTTGTCTTTAATGTGTCGATTTGATATGTATTTGCATAAGCAATTTTTGTATACTTAGCTTAAAATGTTAGGCGAATTAGGCTACTTTGAGCAAAAAAATATATTAGGCGATTTAGGCTACTCGGTAGGAAAAATTAGGCGAATTGAGTTAGCTGGTATCTGGCAACCCTGATTTGTAACTGCGTGAATCATTTTTGATCCACATTATGTACATACCCTGACACACTGACTTGCAAACAATGTAAGAAAATTTGAACATTGAAAATTTCGCGCCTACCTCAACGCATACACCTTTCATCCTTTTAAAATGGCACGGAATAATTCTGTCTACATTTCCAAGTAACATCTGCCGATCTATGATTTTCTTAAAATAAATGGGTAAAATGTTTTGGCTAACATGGCATCCCTAAATTCACTCACACAATAGACAAACGCCAAAATTTTGCGTCACAGTTTTGTTGTAGCCCGAGTTCCGTCCGCCTTTTTTTATAGGTCCATGAAATTACCTCCTTATTTTCACGTGGAACTTAAAAATAGGCGGAGCCGTGATGTCAGGCCATCACCTGTTCAAGTTTCAATCACAATGCTTACCACCCCTAACGCATTGTCGAGAATGACACTATAATGTCAGTCTTCTTTTTCTTTTTAAATATGGTCAGGTCTTGGATATGTCAAAAAAGGTTACACATTTTACTAAGAAAGAATCTTGAGTGACCCTGGCTGAAAAATTAAAAACTACTAGATTTAAAAAAAATTGGATCTGTCAACAGCACTGGACCAGGGGTAATTTACTGTTTGTATAGCCTGACCAGGAACATAAAAAAAACCCTCGCCATGTTGCGGAAAACTAATGGTACTAATTTCTTTTAATGGCAACAGTAACTGAAAACTTCATTGACATGTCACCTTGCATGTCAGTCTATTGCTGTCAAAGTGTAAACAAACTTTATTTTAAATGTGCGCAATTGATTTTGTGAATTAAATTGCTAAAATATTTTTATAGTCGTGAAAGAAAAGTGGTTCACAATGTGTTAAAGTATTTGTCGAAGAGAAATACTAAGGGTTCGGACAATATTTTCATTGAATAATGTTTCCGACAAAGGTTGTCAAATTGACTGACATGTTTATCGTATAGTACAGTCCACTATGAAAATTAGCTGTGGTTTGTTTCAACTACCTATTTTAAAGTTTTTTGTCACTTTCTAAGTGTTGAATTTTATGGAATTGGGAAAGAAGTACCGAGTTTGAAGCGTTCATGAGCAGACATTGCAGTTGAATATTCAAGTTCTAAATTTGATTATTGACGAATAATAAAATAAATCCTACTAACTCGATTGATGGTTTCATTTAATTTATTTAAACCAGGTTACCTATAATAATATTTTTTCGTTAATTTATGAAAATATCAAATTAGCCCGTAATCCAGAATCCTGATACATAAAGTTAGCCTATTAATTTAACACAGGTACGACTGTACTCAGTGTTGCACTATCAAATGTAATTGTCGCGCCTCTATGCCAGGGTTTTTATGTTCCTGGTCAGGCTATACTTCGAATGACTGTCGTGACTACTTCGAATCAAAATAGCGCGAATTTTGTTATGCGCAATTTTAGGGCCCTGTAACATTTTTATTTGTAGACATATTTTCGATTCTTTCACAATTATTATTGGTTTTACTTATATTTTCAAGTTTTATTAAAAGAAAAAAACTGGAAACTTATCCATTGTGTTATGATCATTTTCAGGTGATCATTCAAAAGGATACAGGCGGCGTCCACCGGTCCTCCAGCGCGCGAATGAACGCGCAAAGCCGCGTGCGCAGCGGCAGCGCGGCGTGCGCGCGCGGGTTGTGCGCCGCCGCCTGCACGCGCGCCCAGGCTGCCGACGTGCGCGCGCGTAGCACGACACCGGCGCGTCCGCATACCCTCGCGCAGTAAACACGCTCTGTGGGACATAAAGTAATTTTTAAATCAGGCACAGAATAATAATAAGTACTACGTACAGAAGTATTACTTCGCGAAGGTATTTAAAAAAATGTATGCTCAATGTCATTAACAATATGGTGTAATTTAGCCTGTCTCAAGAGTCAAACACCATTTTGTTGACAAACGTCAGTGATCGGCACTGCGCCGAAGCTATAGGGCTGACTTCGGTAAAATGATGTGACGTGAGGTGCCAAACTGCTGAAAATGGCGGAGGAGATACATGATTTATCATGAATTATCATGAATAATATTAACTACTTATTTACCTCTCAGTGTCTTGAGGCAACTTAAAAAAGTACATTCTATGTTTTTATTATTATTTAGGCAGTTAAATACTGCACAGTATTTAGTACACCATTTTATTTATTTTCTTCCATCATACACAAGAATACGCGTGCGTGAGTCAATGTTCGCTCGTATGTGAGGCTTTGTCGAATAGTATCCTGTAGGTGGGCCATCGTGCGTGTTTTGTTTTCGATGTAAACTCGCGGAGATGAACAGGCCTGATGCAGAGTACTCACCTGCCATGCAGCACGTAACGTAGCATGTAACGTAACCAACCTTCAAGTGAGTACGGCTCGTCCACGGTCATCGCGTATCTGGCTGCGAGCTCCTGAATCCTACTGCGAGCCGCCTTTGTGCTCGCAGCGATACCGCCAGTCGGCGGGTCGCTGCGATCTCCCTGCGAACCACGCGCGAGCATCTCGCAGCGGGCTCGTGCCTATGTACTCACTTGATACAGTATCTGATACATTACATGCTACACGGCTAGATGAGTACCCAGCTTAAAAGACCAGCAAACTGTATGGTGGCGAGTCGCGGCCGCTACTGTAGCGAGAAACCGCCACCGGATACACGTGTGCGGCACGTCTATTAACAAAATATTAACAAGTGTGGTGGCCCATTTGCGCCGAGCCTGAATAATCAACTTAAAAAATTGAACTGCCTAAGGCGGGAATCGAACCCACGACCTTTCGCTTGAACTGAACAAATGTTGTTGTATACGATGCCAACTAACTAGTCCTGCGAGGTTGCCATACCAGTGCTAATATAGTGGGGATTATAATCCTGTATTATCAGACTGATATCAGTCTCCAAAATGAGGTGAAATGAGGACACTAAAAATTTACATCACCCAGGTGAACAAAGTGGAAAAAACCCGTCATTTCACCTCGGAACCATTTCACCCAGATGAATTGATTTGACTAAAGTAGTCGCCTTTGTTCACATAGGAATCAATTCATCCAGGTGAACAAAGATCGCCAGTCGCACCTGTGATCCGGTTGAGGTTCCGCAGCGCACCATCTCTCCCAGGCGACGTGTGTTGTGCTCTAAGGGTACAGACACAAGGTCGCTCGCACCTGTGATCTGGTTGAGGTTCCGCAGCGCACCATCTCTCCCAGGCGACGTGTGTTGTGCTCTAAGGGTACAGACACAAGGTCGCCAGTCGCACCTGTGATCTGGTTGAGGTTCCGCAGCGCACCATCTCTCCCAGGCGACATGTGTTGTGCTCTAAGGGTACAGACACAAGGTCGCCAGTCGCACCTGTGATCTGGTTGAGGTCCCGCAGCGCACCATCTCTCCCAGGCGACGTGTGTTGTGCTCTAAGGGTACAGACACAAGGTCGCCAGTCGCACCTGTGATCTGGTTGAGGTTCCGCAGCGCACCATCTCTCCCAGGCGACGTGTGTTGTGCTCTAAGGGCCAGAACAGACGGTGAAACGCAACTGCAACGAAACTACAACTGCTAGTTACTTTTGAGTTGCATCTAAGTTTCTGCCATAGCGTCCGTTGAGAGACCACACATGACGCGATCAGTTTGAAACTTTCAGTTTCAGTTTCATTCATCAGAATGATCAGAAAGTTGCAGTTTCGTTGCAGTTGCGTTTCACCGTCTGTTCTGGGCTTAAGGGTACAGACACAAGGCCGCCAGTCGCACCTGTGATCTGGTTGAGGTTCCGCAGCGCACCATCTCTCCCAGGCGACGTGTGTTGTGCTCTAAGGCTAAGAACTCACGGCGCGATATTCACCCGCGCCCGAAGCGGTTGTGGAATTGCGGTTTTATTTCAAAACTCACGGGAGCGGTTATTTGCGCGGTTATTCTAAGAACTGACGGCGCGGGTGAAAATCGCACCACGCGCTAAGACACTGGGTACAAAATGGTCGTCGATCGGGCGAGTTTTCGCGCGGGCGCAAACCGCCGAGGCTGCGGTTACCGCGGCCCGCGCGTTTCTACTAGGTGCCCGCCAGTGCCCCGCATGCAACGGCGTCGTGAGTTGTGCATTAGTTTTTATCTGCATTCTACAGAAGCTGCGGGCCCGGGTGAAAATCGCGCCATGAGTTCTTAGCCTAAGGGTACAGACACAAGGTCGCCAGTCGCACCTGTGATCTGGTTGAGGTTCCGCAGCGCGCGGCAGGCGGGCGTGCGCACGCGCGTGTTGCGTCCGCGCGCGCGCACCGCGATGCTCCCACAGCGCACCATCTCTCCCAAGCGCGCGCATGTCTTCTCGCTCACGCACGAAAGCTTTTTGCGCAGCTCGCCGTAGTTGATCAGCGCGTACAATTCTTGCGCTACTTTCTTCACGTCTGCAGAAAAGTGTATATTCAAATAAGTATAAAGTCGTAAGGCCTATCATCATTATCATTTTGTCTTCACTGCAGGAGGACAACCCATTCTAATTTACCAAAGGTAAAAGGAAGGATTTGGCCTAAACCAGAGTAAATACAAATGAGTAGGTCATCTTCATAGAAATGCACCGAGCGCGGTTTGTATGTGAGCGCGCGCCAATACGTATGCGGCGCGCACGCACACACTGACAAAATTCGGGGCGTTTCTATAAAGATGACCTACTCATTTGTCTTTACTCTGCCTAAACTCCCCAGGCTGTTCAAAGTTCAAAACAGGATTTAATCTCACTGGATATAGAAGAAGAGTGCCTATAGCACGAAGTATATTCTCAGATCGACATATTTGATTACAATTTAGGTGAATATACCAAATATCCTCACAGATGACGTGTGATACTGTGAATTGTACAGGGAAAACCACCAGATACAGAAATTGAAATACCTGACGCAGAAAAAAATTAGATGCTTGCAATAAAAGGAAGAATAAGTTAATCAAAACTTTCCATATTCCATCCCATGAGGAAACCCTTATTGCTTGCTACTAATTGACATTCCATGCCGGCATTGTCTAAAAATGTTTCTACGAAAGCCAAAACACCATGACGCGACAAATAAACTAATACAGTTAAGCTAAACTGTGTTACGAGATAGGAATACGAATATTAACCGATTCTACGCAAAATACGCTTGACTAGATCATCACCAAAATTAAAATACCGCAAAGCATACTAATCGCATGTATTATCCTTAAGGTGTATGGTTTGGCGACCCTTGGACCATCGGACTGACCCAGGCTATTATGAATTTTTATTTGGGTCTTCAACAATATAATTTTCACAAATCTGCTGCTAGCGTAGAAAAAGACTTGGGTAGACAGGTTCAATCCCCTACCTACATGGAAGAGCTTTATTTTAGTAATTTATTATTTACCTATTCTACAGTATCAGTATCTTATAGTCTATATATATAAAAATGAAACCCGTTTCGCGTTGTCACGGCATCACGTGTGAACGGCTGAACCGATTTCGATAATTCTTTTTTTTTATGTTTGTGGAAGTCCAAGGATGGTTCTTACGGAAAAAAATATTAAGAAAATCTCTACGCTAAGGCGGTACGAAGTTCGCCGGGTCAGCTAGTATAAGATAAAAAATGAACATTAATATTGGATAAATTAGTGAGCAGTTATTGTAAGTAGGTTCTACACTGGTAGGTATTAGAAAACTCTGATGTTTATGTCGTTACTTCTAGTTGCCTACGCAAAAACTACTAGAAATTTTTGATTAAGTATGAATAAGTATCGAAAATCACGTAGGCAAAGCCACGGGCAGAAGCTTCTATTACTGATTTTTGACCGTTGAACCGTGGACCTGTGACTATACTCACTTAAAACACATATCGCAAAACGCTACCGTTATCGCATACAAATTACCATTTAGTTTTCTTTTATTATCCTCTATTGAAAGACCTTTGGACTGCGGTGCAGCGTGAGAACATATACCATATTCGTGACACCTTAAAATGATTTCACTTTTCGTGTGTTGTAGTCCCGAGTAGTTCCTACTACAAAACGAAAAAAAATAATGAATTTTGAACTTTAAAGTACCTTTATAATAAGCTTCAATCAATTGACGAAATTACTCTAAGTCTCCATTTACAGCTATTTAACATGTGTCTTAATTTATTCAATCTTTATAGAGAACAGAGTTGTAATTGTTTTAGGTATCTTTATACTCAATCAAGTAATGCTAGCTTCCGTGCATGATAAGCTAAACATCAGATGTGATCTCTTTCATGTAGTTACCTAAGATATAATATAGCAATAGCGTACATTAATGGTTACGTCACATATCACATAGGTGACTTAACATATTGTATGTAAAGGTGTTCATTATTTTACACTTGTTATCATAGTGCTTAGTATCATGCGCCAGTTAAATATTAGTGGCAAAACCACGGAAGTTTACCTCAAGGCTGATATAATACTTAAATGACGGATATAGATGGCTGCAGGATTGAATTATGCATTAGATTCTTTTGTTTCTAGGTAATAGATAAAGATTGTTTAACGCCTAGGGCAATTTCATTTAATTAAAAAACGTCGGCGCCTTGCCCACTGTTATTTTAGTTTGCTTATCCGTCGGACTACGTCGGCGAGTAACTACTAAAGAAGATTAAATAGCAGACGTGCTTTCTGCAGCCTGCTTCGGTAGTATAGTAACTTAAAAATCTTAAAAACCATTAAAAAGGGTATGTACAGACGACAGCACATCAGACTACACAGTTTTGTTGAAAAGTCACCTCTACCACAATCACGTAACATACCACAGTGTTTACCTTGATGTGCAGTTGTCTGTACCACCCGAAGTGCATCTCACTTACATCAGGTGTGATTGCGGTCAAATACCAACTTTTTTGAAAAGTAAAAACTAAAACAGAAATACTCACTCTCATCAAAATGCACGTGCTTCGACAGCTTATGCCATGTCCTGTAGTAGAAGTGGCTGACTTGCGTCTTAGTCTTCAGGTTGACGTCTGGCATGCCCTTCTTCTTCATCTTGGCGCAGATGTATGCTGTGACGGCGTCAAAGTCTTTGCCGTACTCGTTCAGAGCCTCGAAGAAGAGATTCTTCTCGTCAGTAGACCAGAGAGCTTTGGGCATGCGCTGCTTGACGGTGGGAAACTTTAGGGGGTCTTTGTCGTCCATCTTGTTTGGGGTGTCGCATTCTGTGAGATCTGAAACGTGGAATATGAATTAAATAAGTCGATATAGTCAGACAAAGATTTGTTCTGAAATATTTCACAATAGTATTTTGTTTTTAATGACGTGAGATGACTTTTATAAAGGTAGCAGGAAGGCGCTGGAAGCAGGCCGCTACCAACCGGTCATTATGGAAATCATTGGGGGAAGCCTATGTTTCAGCATTTGACGTCCTACGGCTGAAATGATGATCATGAAATAACTTTAAAAAAATCTCTACCCTTATGAATCCTTCAGGGCATTTATGTGGACCAGTGCTGAGAAGAAACGTTTTCAGACAGCATAACGCTTAATAGATGATAGTTACAGGCCTGTAGGCCTAGGATGCGAGCCGCGATAAGCGTTTATCGCGCCATTTTATCGATTTTACACGATAAGCCCATACGTTTGTCGTTTAAAATCATCGATAAGATTTTATCACGGCGTGCATCCTAGCCCGGCTGATCAGGCTCTATCTGAATCTGAGCCCAGCAACCTGATTGCTGCTGGATGCAGGCCGCGACCAACCGGTCGTTACGGAAATCATTGGGGGATGCCTATGTCTAGCAGTGGACGTCCTGTGGCTGAAATGACGACGATGAACCTTATTGACCACGGCTGACAAACTGAAGGTTGCACACTCACCATCCGGCTGTCCGTCAGGTCGCTTGCTCTTCTTGTCCTTATCAGCAGGCGGGTCCAGGCGCAGCTTCTTGATGACCCTTGCGCTGGTTCTCTGCTGCTGCAGCGTGGTGAGCGAGCCGAGGAGTTCCGTGCGCTCCGTCTCGCCGGTAGGGGCTGTTGGGGACATCGCAGTCTCTTTCACAGCCGCCTGCAACAATGGAGATGTATTTTAAACCATGGTATTTTAGAGTTACGATTCGTTCGTTCGTTTCAGCCAAATGACGTCTACTGCTGGACAAAGGCCTCCTCCAAGGTTTTCCATAACGATCGGTCTTGCGCTGCCTGCACCCAGGTGCTTCCCGAGAATTTCGCTAGATCGTCGGTCCACCTAGTGGGAGGCCTGCCCACACTACGTCTTCTGTCCCGACGGCTACGAGCCATGTGCCCCGCCCACTGCCACTTGATTTTAGCAATTCTGCTGTTACGGTACAGATAAATTAAAAGGGTATAAACACCTGAATGTTGCGGATGGTGCCGCTACAATTTGTTGTTTTTCCTGTAATTGAGGGCTATGTGTACTGTAAATTATGAAGTATATTAATTACTTAGGTCTCTCTCTTATTTTTGACCAAAGTACGTCAATGAAAACCAAAACGTTAATGTATTTATTATGCACTACTCAAAATAGTTTCATTTCAAATAATAGCACAGATTACTTTAATAATTACAAACATAGTTTGAAAGAAACAGACTGTACATAAATACTTCCTGACTTTAGAGGGCATGTTTTGTTTCTTTCTGAAAGAATTTCATTAAAAGTTAATATGTTTTACCAGGCCTCCGTCACTCGCCTATGCCAGCCGAGATAATTACCTACAGCGCGCGACAACTTCAAGTTGCAAATCAGTCCGGGCCGCCACGCGCCTGTTTGCACACGCGTATTTCTATACACGCTCGGTCGATCATAGTCGCAAATCGCAATCAAGGTTTATTGTTCCAACAGCACTGTTATTCTTCTTTAATGAAAAATTATTGTAATATTTAGGATAATAATTAACTGTAGTTATTTAAATAATAAAAAAACTACACTTTTTAAATAATAAATTATTTTGAAATATGACAAAAACTATAGCAAAAAAATTATTTTAGCTAATAAAAACATTAACTTTACTTCACCGTGTCTATTTTCCGACACTACACCTTTTATAACTGTTTGTTTAATTTCGAATTATCGCAACACTGAAGTTTATTAATAGGTACTTTAGAGATGGTACGATTTTACAAACTCCACTAGATTAAAGTTTACCAATCGTAAATACAATAAATGCTTCTTAAAATTAAGTTTTTATTTATTTTACTTTGCTCATACAACCCTGACGCTTGAGCGGTGACGTAGATCAATTCTGAACACAAAAAAAATGCGCTCTTGTGATCGTAGTAGTAAGGTGCGATTTCGAATGCACTATGTGCGTTGGATATTTTGCATTATTATTATTACCGTTAAAATGTCGGCATCTGATCCTACACAAAGGAGTGCAATTTCTGTTGCTACTATTATGTATTCTGTGGTTTTACTTAGTTGTATGACAAACATACGGCATTTTGGTGTTAAAGCATTTTCGGTGAACAAAGATCTGTCCATGAGTTACGCCCGTACGTTCGTTTAGCATGCGTCTCCGCCGTATGTGATTTGATGAAAGCGTGTATTTAAGTATTTTTCAGTATCATAATACGAAAATACCTATCCAACTGACCTTACAGTTTTTTAATCGATTTTACTCTGAGCATGACCCTTTGATTACTCATAAAACTACATGTTTTATGTAAAAATAAACGTGAGTTTAATGACAATATAAATAGCCGGAAGTGTACAGTAATTTTTATTAAATAAATCCTAAATACCACCTACAGATATGATGACCATTGCTCTCTTAGTACCTATTATTTTGGTGTCATTAAAATATACCCCATTTTAATAATGGTTTACATGATTTAAAATTGTAAATAATAGGAATTTACAAAATGACCGTACATTGTATACGATTGTTAGAGGCAAATTTTGAGTTCTAATTTATTGTAATATCAAGTAAAGCTCCTTTTAAGCGTAAATGTCTGACGACAATATTGAAATCATCATCAGGAATGACAATCTCAGATCGAATAATTAAAATACCGTTTTTGTGCATTTTTTTTTTCAATCAATCTCAAACCATCACTTTGACTTAATTGAATCGAAGTACTAAGGAATAAGATATTTAATTAACATGAGTTGATAAGGACGTAAGACGTTCCTGCATCATTTACTTGCAGGGGATTAGGTATTCTAGTCATCTTATGCCGTTATGCAATGCCAAATTACAATTGATTGCCTTTTAATTAGAAGCTTTTCGTAGTAACTGAACCATTTTGGTTAGTCATTTGGATTATTTGTTATTAAGCTTTGTCCCTTTTAGGTGCATCGCAAACGTATGCAAAAGTAGCCATTAGAAAAACACTTAAGTATTACATAAGTTTGGCACATAATAAGAAAAGACACCTCGCGTATATGCATTGACTGACACTGAAGAATAGATGGGAAACGTGGCCTCTCACTATAGGCCTTATACTCGTACAGAAGCTCAAAGTTGCACAGCACAGTTCTTTACGAGATCGAATCAGAAATGAGGAGATCCGTAAACGAACTAAAGTCACTGACATAGCCTAACGGATTAGCAAGCTGAAGTGGCAATGGGCAGGGCAAATAGTCCGCAGAACTGACGGTCGATGGGGCAGCAAGGTTCTGGCATGGAGGCCGCGTGCCGAAAAACGCAGCGTGGGACGTCCACCCACAAGGTGGACCGACGACATCATAAAGGTAGCAGGGAAGCGCTGGACGCAGGCCGCTACCAATCGATCAACATGGAAAGCATTGGGGGAGGCCTATGTTTAGCAGTGGACGTCCTATGGCTGAAATGATGATGATTATGATGATGAATAGATTCAAGTCTGCAATAGGTCCAAATAGTGAAATCCAACAAATCATATCACCCACTGTAAATCAGCCCTATATTTTTATTTAAAGAGAAACCATGACAGTTTGCGCAAAGCCTTAGCTATTGTCGAAAACGGTGAAATAAAAATTAAACATTATATTCTGTTTATAACCTTGTATTGCGATATTTGCCATCTCCGCGCTACTACATTTATGGAGAGTAACACAAACTTACATAACGTAGTACGGTACTTAATAGTAACAAAACGGACTTTTACACCCGGTGATTAATAGAAAATCTTTCAAGAAAACACTGCTGAATTGTTTATGGAATTTAACAATTTTTTATCGATTTTATTATGAGTCCAGTTATCTTCAACATATTTATGGTGTGTGTTGTTTATGCCCAACTGCCGATAAGGGATACAAGTGCGTCGGTGGTAAGTTTTTAATGTTTAGTTAGGTTAAATATTGTGAGAACAAGTGTTTTGTTCATAGGGAGAACCAGTGAGGGAAAAGTTTGTTTTTAATAGAAACATTTTGTGTAAACGCAAACTACCTACATACAGCAGTTTCTTGTGGAAGAACTGAAATCCTCTGAAATATATCCGAAGAAATCTACGAGGTCTTTTCATTTTTTCACATTCTCTAACAAGGAGTAATTCAGAGATACAAGGAGTTGATACCCTCAAAAACTCATTCAAAGTCAGGCAAAGTGACTCTCATTTATGAATTGAGCGTTTTTGGGTTTTTTAGTGCCTGAACTCTCTCCGAAGCGTGGAATCTTGTTTATTTTCCTATTTAGACTTAAAATCTCCTTACAAAACAGGGAACTAGTGCACAAGGTGATATTTCAATTTGGAAACTAAACCATCCGATTCAAGATAGGAGATCGCCCAATTCACTGGTCTATACCAGTAGGCCTAGGATACGCAGGCCTAGGATGCGCGCCGCGATAAGGCTCTATCTCGCCATTTTATCGATTTCACGCGATAAGTCCATACGTTTGTCGTCTATCTTGCGCGCATCCTAGCCCTTCTTAATCTTGTAAAACCTGAAATTTTGACATTATTTTAGCCACAATCAATAGCAGCAGCTGGCTACCCGGTAGAGAAGCACCGGACCAGAACAGAAGATGGGTACATCTTGCAAATCTTCAGGATTCCGGGAGGAAAGAAGTCGCCAGGTCGATCAGGGATTACGAATACTAAAAGGAAAAGGGCTGTGGTTCTATTTCATGGACTATTCGGATACAGTGGAAATTTTATCGTCTTGGGACCTGAACATAGTCTTGGTGAGCCAAGTTTAAGTTAAGTTTTAATTACAGTTAATCCTGTGAGATGATATCAATTAACAACTGTGTGTATCAAACTCCTCCTGCTTTGCGCATCACTGGTCCATGGGAACGGCCAGTGGGTTATGTGGGACTCTCCCCGCCTGCTCACTAAAGGCAGGGCCTACCCACTAAAACCCGACGGTGTCCACCGGAGCCCAAAGAAACAGATTCGCGAGTTAATGTCCAGTATACCTACTACTACTACACCTCTGCCTAGGCAGGAACTACAACTTTTTCCACTATGAACAAATAACCGATCACAATTTTACCAACTTTGCATAATAATTTGGCTTATAAATTCGATGTATGTATCTTCTAAGAAACCCTTTCTCTACAAAGGTTACTTATTGGCCGACGCGGGATATGACGTTTGGCTCGCCAACCTTCGCGGCACAGTATATTCAGCACACCAAAACCTATCCAAAAGTGACATGACTTTTTGGGATTTTAGGTAAATATAATTTTGTATGCGATACATTTTACGTTAGATGAAAAATTTTGAGGTTTTCAAAATTGAAATGACTGACTGGGCACTATGTAGGTAAGTGCTTTGACTTATAACCATCGACACAGAATAATAATAAGTAGGTACTACATCAATATCTATTTTCGCTACTTTTTCCTGACACCGAGATAAAGAAACAAGCACTATTTCAAGACTATAATAATAAAAGAAGGTGCTGGAAACATTAACGCAAAACTTCTAACGCGGACTTCAAGGAATTCGAGGCTTATCTTCTTGCTCTGCTGGTAATAAACAGAACACAATTAATATCAATTTCATAAAGGAAGAATTTGACAACAGTTGCCGTATTTCCTTCGATCGTTCAACTAAAGTAACTCCTGCCAATATATCTAATGTAGATTGACCACTTTCAGTTTCCACGAGCACGGCAAGTAT